GGACAGTCACAAATACGACTATGCCTACACAGGACTTGAACCTGCGGCGTCCTCGGCGCAGACGATGGCTGCCGCAAACCATCTGCGCCAAGGGAACAGTATTTTTATTTTATTTTATATATATATATATTTTATATATATATATTTTTATATATATATATTTATATATATATATATATTATATATATTTTATTTTATATATTTTATTTTATATCTTTATATATTTATTCGTTTTGGGAGTCTTCAAACTACTCAGGTCATCAAGGCCCTTTAGTGATGATCCAATGAGTAGTTGATAGGGGTAATGATGGTGGAGAAATGATGGAATGAAAGGCAAGGAAAACGGGAGAACCCGAGAAAAAAAAGCTTGCTTAACCCACCACAAATTCTGCTGGATTGGCAGGAGATTGAACTTAGATCCTAGTATTTGCAAGAATAATTTAGCAAATTTTAGGTGCTCTCTCCATGAATGTGATGCCGGTTTTATTTGACTGTTTAATTGCGATGATTAAATCTCTTAATTGCATAATTTGTGCTATATATTAATGTACTCGAAGCATGAAACCCATTATTTTAAAATTCGAGATTCATGGCAATTCGTTCAAATAAACTGTAGCAGAGGAAAACGTGAACGAATGTAGACACGCTACTCATATGCTTAATGAGTCCCTTGTAGTTTCTTTTGGCCGCATCCTCTCACAGCGATCTTGGAAAACGGAGCGATAAACGAAGGAAACGAAATTATTAGTTGTAGCCTTGAAACATACTCTCGGTGTTCACAGTGGAAGAAACTTCAACGTGCCATTTCAATGGCATAAAATCGGTAATATTTTCGCTCGGCCGTTGATTTCGGCATAAATTGGGGATGAGGCTCATCCAGCCTGATGCAATGCGTGGTAGTATGGAAAAATAAACATAAAAGGGACGGCACATTTATAAAGGAAGAAATCAAATTTACTGATTTGAGGAAATAAACCAAAATAAATTTAGGAAAAAGAAACGGCACATGAAGTACCCTCAAAAATAGATGAATTGGCCTTCATTTTATTAACATGGAGAACATGGAGGTTATACTTGGAGTTCCTAGGGTGGCGGATTTTTGACACTGGATACTTACCCGACCGAAGTCAGCCAGTCTGGTGAAGAAGAATAGCGACCGGCTGTTTCGATCAGTAGATTTAGTTTTAGATTCATTAATCAAAAAACAGTAAAAACTGTATGTGACGTATGGGGAGAAGATCATCTGCGCGCGTTTTCTTGAGTTCTAGAATCCCTTTCCATCATTTTAACTAAACTATTTCTTAAACTAAACCTTCAACTATTTATAGTTGAAAGATCAGTAAAATTTTAAAATAAATAAATAAAAATCAATTTTAAAACAGCGCGAGATTAGCAATATTCGATAAAAATAGACATATCACACAGAAGTTTGCTGTGGTTTCTCCGTTCAATACCAGGCGAATGCACCGAGCAATACCATAACGAACTGGTCACAGACCGCGCGCGATCTTTCCTTCCTCATCCTTGACTCTTCCTATACCGTCCCACATACATACACATATTTAGAAACATCGCGCTACGATGTTTCTCGGAAGACCAGTCGAGAGCTTAGAGCTTGTCCTGGCCTGGGCGGTACCACGATGGCGAAGGTTCCAAGCGGGCAAACCTCGCGAGCCGGCGTGTATGTCTACGCCGGAACTTTCCAGCTGGATATCATCACCATCCGATTATATAATGAACTACACTTACGGGACTAACGACACGCCCGTAAACAATAATTAATCAACCATTGCCGTTGACGCCACCGTAAACACAAAATAATCTGTCGATTAATGAAATTGTTGCCCTGGGAGCCGCCAATGGTGTCTGAGCCGCATCGCGGGGATACACGCGCTGTCCTCCCCCTCCCCCGGCGCGATGCACACGCCGGCGACGACTCACTCACCCGCACCGCGCGACGCTGGCCGGAGGACGCCGCGGACCGTCGCCGACGCAACACGAAGATCCACGACGTTTCACGAAGGCTCCGCATGGACCCGCCGCCGCTTCTACTGTTGCTGCTGCTGCTGCCTCCGCCGCCGCTGCCGGCGCAAGCGCCGCTTCTACACTCGACGACGCCGTTTGTT